GCCCACAGAATTTTTCTTTAAGATATATGTGTGTGTCTGTTTCATTTGTTCAATACTGTTACACACATATAAGGTGATAACTATCATTTATTGACTATTTGTTATGTCTAAACACTTTAAGACTAATCAAACTAATAAGACAGGTAATATTACTATCTCCATTTTTCAGAAAAGGAAACTGAAAATAGTGTAAATAGCTTGTCCAGTGTCACTCAGCCAGTGACTACTGGAGCCTCATTTGAACACAGCAAGTCTTGCTCCAGGGCTTTAACTTGCTGTGTGATGCTGTTCTCCTACATGTTGTTTTGGAATGTGCTTCTCTAATTTGCACATGTTTTGTCCCTCTTGTTCTGTTACCAGGCAGAGTCCTAATTATTTCTATTCTTATTCCTTTTGTTTAACAAACTGTCAAACTCCAGTGCAATTATCTAGATTGACATTAAACAATAAATGAGTAAAAATGGAGGTGATACTTGGTCATTTGGCTATTTTCACTATTGCTTATGCTAATGTTTTCTGTTTAAATTTCAGGGCATTTGAATCTGAAATTCGATTTTACACTGGAAATGACCCTCTGGATGTTTGGGACAGGTGGGTCTTTTTATTTAACAGGGGCAGTAGAAACTTAACATGTGAGTCCTTAAGGTCATGCTTTTCAAACTGGGGTGTACAGAGCAGTGTGCCAGAATGTAGAGTGGTTTTTGGGGGACACAGAGAGAGAAGAGTCATAATGTCTCCTCCTGAGGTATTCAGGGTGCGGCATGTAGCTGTGAGTTTCACCCTTCTGTCCTCATTCCCATTATTTCCAACAAGTACTTAATTAGAAATACTTAGAAAATTTGAGGGGTACAGGATTGGAGCATGTCTTTGAGGACCTCTAGATAAACATACTTTCAATATATTAGATATTTCTGCTTTAAAAAATTCCAGAATGGGTCTTAGAGCAAGAACAAAAGTTTAACATATTTCTAAAATATTCTTTTCCTTTTCTTTCTGTTCAGGTATATTAACTGGACAGAGCAGAACTATCCTCAGGGAGGGAAGGAGAGTAATATGTCAACATTATTAGAAAGAGCCGTAGAAGCACTACAAGGGGAAAAAAGATATTATAATGATCCTCGATTTCTTAGTCTCTGGCTTAAACTGGTAAGTCTCAAATGCCATCTGAACTTAAAATTCTGCTACTTTACTGAATTCATTGATCAGTTCTGGTCGTTTTTTTGTGGAATTTTTAGAGTTCTCTACATACAGTATCGTCTGTATGTAGATGTCAGTATTAGTTGTGTGTCATCTGCACATAATGAGTTTTACTTCTTCCTTTCCAATTTGGATGCCTTTATTTCTTTCACTTGTCTCATTGCTGTATCTAGGACTTTTAGTACTGTGTTGAATAACAGCGGTGAAACGGGACATCCCTGTCTTGTTCCTGATCTTAAGGGAAATGCTCTTCGTTTTTCCCCATTGAGAATGATGATTACTGTGGGTTTGTCATGTACAGCTTTTATTATATTTAGGTATGTTCCCTCTATTTTCACTTAGCTGAGTTTTTATCATAAATGGGTGCTGGATTTTTTCAAGTGCTTTTTCTGTACATATTGATAAGAGCATATGATTTTTATCCTTCATTTTGTTTATGTGGTGTATAATGTTACTTATTTGCAGATATTGTACCATCCTTTAATCCCAGAACAAATCCCACTTGATCCTGGTTAATGATCACATTAATGTATCGCTGAATTCAGTTTCCTAATATTTTGTTGAGGATTTTTGCATCAATGTTCATCATGAATATCGGCCTGTGCTTTTCTTCCTTTGTAGTCTTTTTATCTGGTTTTGGAATTAAGATCATGCTGTCCTCATAGAAAGAGCTTGGGAGTCTTTGTTCCTCTTGAATTTTTTTGGAATGGTTTGACTATAGGTGTTACTTCTTGAATGTTTGGTAAAATTCACCTGTGAAGCCATCCAGTCCGGGACTTTTTTATGTTAGGAGTTTGATTATTGCTTTGATTTCATTAGTTACAATCAGTCTGTTCAGGTTTTCTGTCTCTTTTGGTTTTGGTTTTGGAATATTGTATGTTTCTAGGAATTTATTCATTTCGTTCAGATTGTCCAATTTGTTGACATATAATTCTTCATAATGTTTCCTTATCCTTTGTATTTCTATGGCATCAGTTATACTTCTCTTTCACCTCTGATTTTATTTCTTTTGGTCCTCAAAGAACCATCTCTTGGTTTCTCAATCTTTAAAAAAAATTTTTTTTTAATTTAATTATTGTTCAAGTACAGTTTTCTGTCTTTTACTCCCATTCCAGCCCACCCCCCTAGTGCTCCCCACCTCCCTCCCATTTCCACTCCTGTTATTTTTTGTCCATGTGTCCTTTATACTAGTTCCTGTTAATCCTTCCCCCTTCTTCCCTCTGGTCCCTGTCAGCCTGTTCTCTATTTCAGTGTCTTTGGTTATATTTTGCGTGCTTGTTTGTTTTGTTGTTTAGATTCCTGTTAAAGGTGAGATCATATGGTATTTGTCTTTCACCACCTGGCTTATTTCACTCAGCATGGTGCTTTCTAGTTCCATCCATGCTGTTGCAAAGGGTAGGAGTTCCTTCTTTCTTTCTGCTGCATAGAATTCCATTGCATAAATGTACCATAGTTTTTTGATCCATTCATTTACTGATGGGCATCTAGGTGGCTTCAAATTCTTGGCTATTGTATATTGTGCTGTTATGAATATTGGGGTGCATAGGTTCTTTTGGACCGGTGTTTCAGGGTTCTTAGGGTATAATCCTAGCAGTGGAATTGCTGGGTCAAAAGGCATATTCATTTTTAGTTTTCTTAGAAAATTCCATACTGTTTTCCATAGTGGTTGTACTGTTTTCCATAGTGGTTGTACCAGTCTGCAATCCCACCAACAGTGAACCAGGATCCCCCTTTCCCCCACAACCTCTCCAACATTTGTTGTTTGTTGCTTTGTTTATGATAGCCATTCTGACCGGTGTAAAGTGGTATCTCATGGTAGTTTTAATTTGCATCTCTCTTATAGCTAGTGATATTGAGCATCTTTTCACGTGTCTCTGGATCCTCTGTATGTCCTCCTTGGAGAAGTATCTGTTCAAGTCCTTTGCCTACTTTTTAATTGGGTTGCTTGTCTTCTTAGAGTGAAGTCATGTAAGTTCTTTGTATATTTTGGAGATGAAACCCTTGTCTAAGGTATCATTGGCAAATGTGTTTTCCCATACAATTGGTTAATTGGTTCTCTTTTTATTTTAATACTGTTTTCTTTAGCCATGCAGAAGCTTTTAATTTTGATGAGATCCCATTTGTTTATTCTTTCCTTTATGTCCCTTGATCTAGGGGACATATCAGTAAAAATGTTGCTTTGTGAAATATCTGAGATTTTCCTGCCTATGTTCTCCTCTAGGACTTTTATGGTGTCATGGCTTATATTTAAGTCTTTTATCCACCTTGAATTTATTTTGGTGTATGGTGTAAGTTGGTGCTCAAGTTTTTTGCATGTAGCTGTCCAGTTCTCCCAACACTATTTGTGGAAGAGGCTATTTTTACTCTATTTTATGTTGCTGTCCCCTTTATCGAATATTAATTGCCCATAGAGACTTGGGTTTATTTCTGGGCTCTCTGTTCTGTTCCATTCGTCTTCGTGCCTGTTTTTATGCCAGTACCAGGCTGTTTTGATTATAGTGGCCTTGTAATACAGTTTGGTATCAGGTATTGTGATCCCTCCTACTTTGTTCTTCTTTCTCAAAATTGCAGCTGCTATTCGGGGTTGTTTATGGTTCAAAAATATAAATTTTTGAAATGTTTGTTCTATGTCTGTGAAATATGTCATTGGTACTTTAATAGGTATTGCATTGAATCTGTATATTGCTTTGGGTAGTATGGACATTTTGATGATGTTAATTCTTCCAGTCCATGAACACAGTATATGTTTCCATTTGTTTGTGTCTTCCTTGATTTCATTCTTCAGGGCTGTGTAGTTTTCTGTATGCAGGTCTTTTACCTCCTTGATTAGGTTTATTCCCAGATATTTTGTTTTTGTTTTTGCTATATCGAATGGGATTTTTTTCTTGATTTCTGCTTCTGCTGTTTCATTGTTAGTATACAAAAAAAGCCTTTGATTTCTGGATATTGACTTTGTATCCCACTGTTTTGCCAAATTCATTTATTAGGTCGAGCAGTTTTTTGGTAGAGTCTATAGGATTTCCCATGTACACTGTCATGTCATCTGCAAACAATGATAGTTTTGTTTCCTCCTTTCCTATTTGGATGCCTTTTATTTTCTTTTCTTGTCTGATCGCTGTGACTAAAACTTCCAATACTATATTGAATAAAAGTGGTGGAAGTAGACAACCTTGTCTTGTTCCTGATCTTAGTGGAAAAGATTTTAGTTTTTGCCCATTGAGTATGATGTTGGCTGTAGGTCTCTCGTATATGGCCTTTATTATATTGAGGAATGCTCCCTCTATTCCCACTTTGCTGAGTGTTTTTATCATAAATGGGTGTTGTACATTATCAAAAGCTTTTCCTGCATCTATTGATATGATCATGTGATTTTTGTTTATATGATGTATTACATTTACTGAATTGCGAATATTGAACCATCTTTGCATCCCTGGGATGAATCCAACTTGGTCATGGTGTATGATCTTATTGATATATTGTTGGATGCGGTTTGCCAATATTTTGTTGAGGATTTTAGCGTCTATGTTCATCAGCAATATTGGCCTGAAGTTTTCTTTCTTTGTTGTATCTTTATCTGGTTTTGGAATTAGGATGATGCTGGCTTCATAAAAAGTTTGGGAGTCTTCCATCATTTTGGATTTTTTGGAATAGTCTGTGAAGAAGGTTTCTTGATATTTTGTGTTGCTTTTTAGGCTCTATTTTGTTTATTACCTCTCTCATCTTTATTATTTCCTTCCTTCTACTTACTTTGGGCTTTGATGCTTTTTTTTCTAGTTCCTTTAGTTGTAAGTTTAGATTGTTTATTTGATACCTGGCAGAGGAGATACCATGATCATGAAGGTGGTTTTCCCAGGGCCAGGCTTATCCACTGCACTTTGGATGTGCTTGGCCCCTGTGATTTCCCCTAATGTGGGAAACTCAACTGCATAGTTTGTGGTAGAGGTAGACTGCATTCGCACTCTTCCCTGGGGGGAAAAAAGACTGTTTATTTGAGATTTTACTTATTTCTTGAGGTATGCCTCTAATGCTGTGAATTTCCCTCTTAGGACTGCTTTTGCTGTATGCTGTAGATTTTGTGTTATTGTGGTTTCATTTTCATTTGTCTCAAAGTATCTTATTTTTTGTAATATATTTTATTGATTAAGTTATTATAGTTGTCCCTTTGGCATTTTAATTATGATGTGTCTTGGTGTGGTCTTCTTTGGGTCCAACTTGTTTGGGACTCTGTGCTTCCAGGATTTGTATGTCTATTTCCATCACCAAATTAGGGAAGTTTTCTTTCATTATTTTTCCAAATAAGTTTTTAATTTCTTACTCTTCCTCTTTTCCTTCTGGCACTCCTATGATTTGGATGTTGGTACGTTTGGAGATTGTTTTTTTGAATTCATTTTTAATTCTTGCTGTTCTAGTTGAATGCTTATTTTTTTTTTATGTTCCAAATTGTTGATTTAAATCCTGGCTTCCTCCTCTCCACTGGTGGTTCCCTGTAGATTTTTCTTTATTTCACTTAGTATAACCCTCATTTCTTCCTTTATGTTGTTGCCATTCTCAATGAATTCTCTGAGCATCCTGATCACCAGTGTTTTGACCTCTGCATCTAATAGGTTGATTATATCCATTTTGTTTAGTGCTTTTTCTGGCATGTTATTCTGTTCTTTCATTTGGGCCATATTTCTTTGTCTCCTCAATTTGGCAGACTAGTTGTGTTTGTTTCTGTGTGTTAGGTGGCGCTGCTTTGACTCACTGTCTTAGCAGCATGACCTGTTGTAGAAAAGGCACCTGTAAATTATGTGGGGCAAAGCCTTAGGTGATTGCCAGGGCAGGGCAACCTGTTTCACTACTTTGTGACTCCATGTGTAGGGAAAGGTTAGGGAGCGGACAGTACCACTGCCTGGCTTCTGGAGGTTTACGGGCACTCACCCCATTGCCAGTCACTTCACCCACTTCCCATATGTGAATGGCACCCTTCCAGCTGTTGCTCTGGTGCTGAATCCCAGAGTGGGTAGATTTCTGTATGTTCTAAGTCTATCTGGGCCCTTTAAATGGAGTCTCTTGAAAATCCAGCAGTTTTCCACTGCCCCAACTCCCACTGGTTTTTACAGCCAGAAGTTATGGGGATTTATCTCCTTGGTGCTGGAACCCTGGGCTACATGGTCTGGCCTGGAGCTGGAATTGCTGGCTCCCAAGGTATCCCTCCTGATTTTTATCCACCACACGTGACTATGGCAGCAACCATTCTGCCACCTCTCTGTGCCACACAGTGTCTCGGCGTTTCTCCACTTGTCTCTACAACTCTTCCCCTCCTACCCATCTGGATGAATATGGTTTCTTTAAATCCTTGGTTGTCAGACTACTGTATAGCTCAGTTTTCTGATGGTTCTGGGTGTTACTTGTTTTGAAATCTAGTTGTAGTTCTTTCTGTGGTTGTGTGAGAGGCGAAGTGTGTCTACCTGTGCCTCCATCCTGATAGAAGTCTCAAAGTATCTTTTGATTTCATCCTTGATCTCACTGTTAACCATTTGTTATTTAGTAACATGTTATTTAGCCTCTGTGTGTTTGTGTGTATAAGTTTTTTTCTTATAGTTGATTTCAAGTTTCTTTTCTTTTAAAAAATATTTTATTTATTTATTTTTAGAGATAGGGGCAAAGAAGGAGAAAGAGAGGGAGAGAAACATCAATGTGTGGTTGCCTCTCACACACCCTCTACTGGGGACCTGGACACAACCCAGGCACGTGCCCTGCCTGGGAATTGAATCACCAACCCTTTGGTTTGCAGGCCAGCACTCAATCCACTGAGCTACATTAGCCAGTGCATGAGACTTGTTTTGTGTCCTGACATGTGGTCTATCTCAGAAAATGTCCATGTACACTTGAAAAGAATGTATATTCTGCTGCTTTGGAGTAAAACATTCTGAAAATTTCATCTGAACTGGCGTGTCATATTAAGTATTGTTTCCTTGTTGATTTTATGTCTAGAAGATGTAAATGTTTATAAGGGTTATATCCTTTTGTTATCTTGATCCCTTTATCATTAAGTAATGTCAGTTATCGCTTATAGTCTTTATTTTAAAGTCTATTTTGTCTGATATAAGTATAGCTATTCCAGTTTTTTAAATTTTCATTTACGTGAAATAGAATTTTCTAGCTATTTACTTTCAGTCTATGTGTGTTTTTAAATATGAAGTCTCTTGTAGACAGCATAGGTAAGGGTCTTCTTTTCTTATCCTTTCACCCATTGTATGCCTTTTTATGTTTTTTTAAGATTTTATTTATTTTAGAGAGGAGGGAAGGGAGGGAGAGAAGGAGGGAAACATCAATGTGATAGAAAACCATCGATCCATTGCCTCTTGCGTGTACCCTGACTAGGGACCAAACCCACAACCCAGGCAGTGTCCTGACGGGGAATTGAACCAGCGACTTTTCACTTTGTGAAAAGACACCCAACCAAGCCACACCTGTCAGTTATGGCTTTTGATTGGAGCATTGAATCCATTTGCATTTAAAATAGTTATTGATAGCTATGTATTTATACCCATTATAGTATTCATATTTTTTATCTTTGGTCTTCTTCATAAAGAAGTCCCATTAACATTTCTTTGTCTGGGAAGCTCTTTATCTGTCCTTCAATTCTAAATAGTAGTTTTGCTGGGTGTCGTAATCTTGGATGTAGATCCTTGGTTTTCATCACCTTGAATATTTCATGCCAATCCCTTCTATCCTGCAAAGTTTCTGTTGAGAAATCAGCTGACAGTCTCATGGGAGCTCCCTGGTAGATAAAGCACTGCTTTTCTCTTGCTTCTTTTAGGATTCTCTTTGTCGACCTCTAACCAACATGGAAGATTAGCTAGGGACCCACCCCACAGAGCAGGACTTACTCCAGCATAGCTGGTGCTCACTGAGTCTTCCTTTGAGTGTATTGGTTGTGGAGGTGATTGGGTTGTGGTACTTTGACATGGTCTGAAGCTGTCCTTCTGGGAGGTGCAGGCCAAGGTCAGCTGCCACCTGTGTTCTGCCTGGGGTTGCCAATGGTAGCTTCAAAACCATCTGCAGATGATGCTACTTATGCTGGGCTTAGGGGTGCCCAGGTGAGGCCAAACTGTCAACCCTAGGTGGCCTGCTGCTAGTGCTGGGCCTGGGGCCACTTAGCAAGAGGTACAGGGCAGGTTGAGGCCAGATGCTGCTTGTTTGAGAGCTTTTAGGAAAATCTGAGGTATGAGCCAACACAGACAAATCTTATGGAAAAGCCACTGGAAACAGCTTAGGTGGGCCCAAAATTTGGTGAGGTAGTATCTCAGGGAATCACCAGGGTAGAGCAAATAGTGTGAGCCAAGCTGATGGAGATTTAGATGTGGTGCCAGCCTGCCTGTTCTGTATGGGATGGGCTTATCAAAGGAATAATGGCCTCTGGCAGCATCTCTGTCTGGGAGAAAGCTGCACCCCCAGCTCTGGCCTTGATGCCATGCAATTCAATTCCTCCTTGTATGTTTCTAGTGACTTTCATGCTACTGCTTCAGTGCTGGAGCTTAGAGGTGGTGAGTAAGTCTGTGCATGGGTACTTTAAGAGGAACTACCTGTGTCTCCAGAAACTCTCTTTCTCCCTCAGCCTTAATGTATAGTGATTTTTTTTTTAATCTTCACCAGAGGACATGCTTTACTGATTTTAGAAAGAGGGGAAGGGAGGCTGAGGGGGAAACATCAGTCCCCTGTCAGGTGCATACCAGGAGACTTCCATTGGTTCTTTTCCTTTGTGTTTCTGTCTATTGTTTTTGTTTGGTGCTGTTCCATACTTGTTTCCTCTTTTTCTGTCTGTGTGTCTCAGTTTTGTGTGTGTGTGGTTACCATTAGATTTATGAAAAAGAAAGTTTCGTATATAGAGTAGTTCTTTTCCTTTTGAATGCATCTGACTTCCATTCTCCTTTGCAATTTTAGACCTTTTCTCCCTCTCCTTTTATGTTTTGTTGTCACAAATTATCCCTGTTTATGCTGTAAGTTTGTTGGTGATCTTACTTGTAGATTTGTGACCTTTTGTTCTTTGTTTTAGGTAGAATAATCCCTTAATAAATTTCCTCAGCTTCTCTATGTCTGGGAGAGTCTTCATTTCTCCTGCATCTTTAGAGGGTAATTCTGCTGGATATTTTACTTTTGGCTGATCATTTCTTTCTTTCGGTAGTTTGAATTGTTTTTTTCATTTTAACTCTCACCCGAGGGTATGTTCACCCAAGGATATGTTGTTGTTTAATTGATTTTAGAGTGAGAGGGAGGGAGAAAGAAGGAGAGAGAAACATCAGTGCCTCCTGTGCATGCCCTGACTGGGGGTAGAACCTGCAACCTAGGTATGTGCTCTGACTGGGAATCGAACCCGCAACCTTTGGGTGCACAGGTCGACGCTCCAACCTACTGAGCCACCTGGCCAGGGCAGTAGTTCGAGTGTTTGTTTCCACTGTCTTCTGGTATGTAGAGTTCCTCCTGAGAAGGTGATAATGGGCTTTCCTTTATAGGTTACTTTCTTATTTTCCCTGGCTGCCTTGAGAATTCTTCCTTTGTCATTCTTTTTTGACAGTTTTAATACAATGTGCCTTGGAAAAGGCCTCTTTAGATTGAGGTAAGTAGGTGTTCTGTTTGCTTTTTGAATTGAAGGATCTAGCTCTTTCTGTAAGTTTGGAAAGTTCTTGTCAACTATTTGTTTGACTATGCTCTTTTTTCCCATTCTCCCTCTCTTTGTACTGGTATGCTTGTTATTCTTATATTATTCTTTCTGATGGAGTCAGATAGCTCTTGTAGAGTTCTTTGACTTTTTTTTAGTGTTGAAGTTTCTTTCTTTTTCCCTCCGTGTCATTTCTGGATTTTTTTTTTTTATAATCACTGATCTCTTCCTCCATTTGGTTTGCTCTATTTCCTGTGTTGCTAGTTCATTCTTGGTCTCTTTGGTTGAGTTGTTCTCCAGAATTTCCGTTTTGTTCTTTGTTAA